AGTGTCACCGGGGTCTTTGTTCTCGCGTCCTGGCCTCCGGGATTGGGTGCGGCCTACCTGGCTCTTTGGGCGCTTTTCGGCTGGGAATCTCGGTGCTATGAGTCCGGCCCACACTCGGACCCAGGAGCGCTGCAGCTCCCGGAGAACTGGCTGCCTGGGCGCAAGGCGCGGGGGGCTGACACTTCATTTTCAAGATCCCTCCCACACATCCTTTCCAAGGCTGTGGGGCAAACCCCAAAGTGGATCTTTGTGTTAAGCCTTGAGACCATAATGTTAAGTGAAGTAACTCAGACACACAGGCTTGAATATTGAATGCTTTCTCTTTTATGAAAAACACAGAAAATAGGAAAAAAAGAGAAAAATAATTTTAATACAGAGAGGATAACGTATTTAAAAGTGTATCCTGCATCAGTCTGGTTTGTAATCTGTATATATGATAACTAAATTTATATGGTCTTATAAGATAAATAAATCTGATGCTAGAAAAATAAAAGGGAGGTGGAGGGAAGGGAAAAAAAGGATTAAAATGTGTAATGTTCATGTACCAGCTCCCTACAGTGGATGTAATCATTATGGACTGCAAACATGTACTAATAAAAGTAAAAAAAAATGTAAGCTTCAGGTATCACAAAGCAGGTTCTACCTCTGGGAATACCCAGTACAGAAAGAGGAACACTGTGAGCAAAAGCACATTATTCAGGCTGTCTCGAGGTCTCTGTTCTAGCCTGGGGTTAGCACTGTCTGTATAGACTTTCAAAAGCACTGACACTTGCTGAGAGTTCGTTAACCTGTGAAATGGTACTGGTACACTGTCCCATCTTTTCTGAGTTATGTGATAATAATTACCTGAAATAACATTCTAGTTATCAAAAGTCAGTGTTCAGAAATAATTACTAATTAACTGAAAAATGTCACAATTAAGGTGTGTTCAGAATTAGTGTTTAACAACATTGCTGTTTTCTCCTTGTTCAAAAACATATCGTGTCCAAGAATTCTCCTGACTTTGCATCTCTGTTCTTCCTACAGAAGATGCTTCACAGCACTGTCTTACCGAGAAGCGGTCTTTAATCCTGGATTGCAGTGGGCTGACCTTTTTTGACTATTCTGGAGTCTCCATGCTCGTTGAGGTATTTTGCGGAGCCTTGATTTGGACTGATTTCTTCCTTTCACTTCAGGAATGGGTTTCACCAGCTGCATTCTCATCTCCATAGTCCGAGTCCATTACAATACTTATTTTGCCCTTTCCCCCATGAAGGACTTGGGCCTTTGCCTTACAGCACTGTAGATTCGTTTTCAGGAGTTCCCATCAGGTTTCAGGGTTGTATGTGCGAAGCCAGGGCTGGGATGTGCTCATGGGTATCACAGGTCATAGACTTGAGATGTGATGGCCATTGTATCTTCTGGACAGTCCACTTATAGGGCTTCTAGAAAGAAAGAAAAAAGTCCTGTCCAAGACACAGGTACACGATAAGCAAGTGGCATTGGTGACAGCAGACTGTCACTTCTCCCATATCATGGCCAGTTTAATTTTGGCCTAATACTATCGCTGGTCTTCAGACATCCATTTCCATAAAAGGAAAATCACCTAACTTTGTGAACTGAAGAAAAACTTTGGCCCATTGCTGGAAACTTTTTCTTCTTTTTGAGTAAACATTATGTCCACAAGGAATTTACTCCTTCTTCATTTCCTTGAGTTCTCTCCCTCAATGTCCTAATAAAAGTGGGGTCTTAAGGGTGGGGCATCATTTACTTCTCAGTATCCTCACTTCCCTTCCAACTCTGTGCCTGTACCCGCACCTCCTCCTCTTGTGCTGGATCCCATGAGTTTCCATACCCTGGGCTTCTGGAGCCTCCCTATGTGTGGCTTCCCATTCAGCCAAGGCCTTAAATAAAAGTATGGACATTTCTGGAGCTCTTTCTCTGTGTAGTTTCCTCCTCTCCATTCTCTCTCCACAAATCCTGCCTACTCAGCCCATCCTGAATGCCAGTTCTGTCTGCTTACCCCAAATAAAGCTTCTGGCTGTCACTCAGGTCCCCTCATCGTGCCATGGCCCAAGGCTTTGAGGCAGCAAGGTGAGCTCCAGGGGTACTGGCCTTATTTGTCTTTTCCTTGGGGGCTTAGTCCTGTGCTGCCCGAGGCCATGGTCTAAGTACGACTGTCCCTGTGTTTTTGTCCAGTTGTCTACTTGTGTAGGGAGGAGGGGATAGTCTTGTATTAGTTACTCATAGTAGACAAAAATGGAAACTGGACACTGACTCCTAAGGGGGTCAAATTAGAAGCTTTGACATGGTCTCATAAGGATATTGACTGTTCTCTCATATTGTTATATTTTTGAGCCTATATTCATTTGCATTTTAAATGTACTTTAAAAGTTCAACCTTTTAAACACAAGGAAGTATGAAGGCCAACTTCAATCTCATTCTCCTGTGACGAGAAGGGCAGGTGCGTGGGGAGGGCGACTGCTTAGTGGAAGTCACCCTTGCCCCACCCCCGGAGTTGGGGAGTCATATCCTTTCTCTGCATCTGTTATCATTTGTAAAGATGAGGTGATGTTTGCTTCCGGATTAGCAGACATTTAGAAGGCAAGGAAATAATAAAAAGTATTAAAGTTTAAAGACTTTAGGTCTTCCCTTCAGTGGCTATTTCTGGCAGGTTACCTTGTTCCCTCTGAAATAAACTTTTATGGTTTTTTGTTGTTGTTCACTATAAAAGCTTTGCATAACTGGGCACCAGATTCATCCAGACCACTTTATGTTTTCTTGCAAGTAAAGCCCCTCTGCTCCATTCACTGCAGGTTACTTATTTATTTATACTTGCCGCACTGGGGACTGAACCTCAGGCCTGCACACTGAGCTACCTCCTTAGTCCTTATTTTAAATGTGGAAACAGGGTCTCGCAAAGTTGCGAAGATGCCCAGGCTGGGCTTGAGCCATCAGGCCTGCTGCCTGAACCTCCCAGCCACGAGCCACTTTATCCTGCTGGGAGGAATTCTGTGTTTGGCAATTTTACCTGCTGCGTGTTGCTGGAGTCTAAAGAGTGCTATTATAAACTGTGTGCTTCAAGATGACCTTGGATCTCATTTTCTGTGCTGTCTTCCCGGTCTTAGTTCGGATGCAGAATCTTTAAACAACCACAGCTGTTTCTCACACAAGTGGTTCGATGTGAATTTGGAGAAACACTAGCCTAGGTGGAATAAATTGACTGATTCGATTTATTTTTAAATTAGCAGAAGATGACATTTGCCCTTGTGTGTGTGTTTTTTATCTATAAATATACAAAGCCAAGTTTTGCATTGGTTTTCTCTTTATAGGTTTCTTTATTACTATTTGGTTTATTCCATCAAAATTACAATAGCAATATAATATGTATTAAGAATTTAGATTTTAAAGACAGACAAACTTTGGGTCCAAGTATCAGTCACTTATTAGTTCTATGGTCTGGATGCAAGTTTTGTTTGCATTTTTGTAAACTAGGAACAGAAGCACCCATTTTATCAAGTAGTGAGGCCTTTATTGCCAATGACAGTTGTCTAGCAGTTAGTAAATACCCAATGATGCTAGACTCTATTATGTTCTTCTCATTTAAAAAAGTAATTTCATGATGGACAAAAAGTGTCATGACTAATAAGCATTATTTCTTAGCTCCAACCTCCCTAGGAGAGGGTTCAGAACAGAGTTCCAGAGACTCTTTAGCCGTGCATGTCTTCCTGCCGTCTAATAACACTAATAACACTGCTGGCTTGTTTCATTAGTGACTTTAGCCCAGGCCAAGTCTCCCAGGAGTTGTACTTTGAAGGAAGTAGGGTGACTTTTGTTTATTCTTTTACTTGGGACACTGGAGAGGTCAGTGAACTGGAGATTATATTTATCAGCATCAACAAACCACCCATAACAATGTGCTTCATTGAGCTTAAGAAAAAGCCAAACACTGAGAAGTCACCTTGAATTAATCACTCTAACTTAACAAAAGCAGGAGCTATTTTATATCAAAGTCTCAGTCCATATGTATTTTGTTTGCTTGCTCATATACATGTTTGTTTGTTTAAAGTGGTACAACTATCATTTCAGAATTCTTATCACATATAGAGAACTGCTTGCTGCTGGAAAAAATAGAGAAATTTTGGATGTATCACATTTGTCATCAGTATAAATGCAGGTTTTTGTAACTTTCATATAAGATACATCACTATTAAATAAAATCTATCCTATTGTAACTAAAATTTCAAGATTCATTTTCCCTGATTTTCATGGTATGACTTTGGTCTGGGTAAATTTAAGATCAGAGCCTTTTATACATGTTTCTACTTGAGATTTTCTACAGTTTAGGAGAAGACTCTAAAGTGTGCCAGGGAAATTAGTTAGCATCTCTCACCGATGGATCTTTAAAAAGGGAAATCAAATTGGCTTAGATCCTAGTGAAGCTCTCAATTTGTCATCCATGAGTGGGATTTACAGAGTCTGTGAATATGCTCAAATGACTGAAGTTATTAAGTCAGCAGAAGGTCAGCCCTCATCGCTTTCACAAATGGGTCCTTGACTTCCAATAAAAGAAGTTAGGAACAATTTTATGTCGTTATTATGGGAAAGAAAAGGCGATATTTTGATTTTTATTAAATACAGTGGGAAATAGAAGCAGCCAAATTTAGTTGCAGTATGTGTAGAGGCCTGGCTGGATTGATTTTACTCTTCAAAATACTTGCCACGTTGTGCCCCCCATCCTACTATGTAACAATGCCTCCCTCTGGTGGCTTAACTTCATAAAAATGTGCTTTTTTGACACTCTTTTAAAGCTTCTATTCTTTTCTTACCAACTATTCTGAATTAATCATAGGTATACTATTTTGGTTCTTCCAGGTTTATCTGGACTGTAAGGACATGAATATGGATGTATCATTAGCCAACTGCACAGGTAGGGAGTGACCTTGTCTGGCACTGAATGCGATCCTTCTTCTATTCCATGGATCTTTATGTCACCTGTACTTTCTTGTAGATTCCCTGATAAAAGCAATGAAGTACTATGGAAATCTAGACTCAGAGAGACCAATTTTTTTTGAATCAGTATCTGCTGCAATAAGTAATATCTACTCAAATAAGGTGAGTTGATCGAGGCAGACTGTAGGAATTGAATGAAAAACTAGAATGTAAAATGAAGGACCTTATATTTTTTTTCTATTAGTTTTTACCTCACTCTCATCTAAAATCTATTAAAATAGCTCCCTTTACCCCAGAGGCCTCTGCTGTGAGTAAAGGAATGATTTCATTTCTTTTTTAGACCATTAAGAATGTAATTTGTTATTACACAAATTATTCCAACAGTGGCACTGTTGGAGGATTTGGTGATCACCTGTCAAGTGTTTCAGGCTTGTTTAAAGCTTTTTTTCACAATTAACACTGTCCTAAAATTTTGAATTCTTCTCTCAATTGCAGAATTTCTATTTTTTTGGTGGGGGGGAATACCGGGAATCGAACTCATGAGCTCATACTTTCCAGGCAGGTGTTATGCCACTGAGCTAAGCCCTCAGCATCAAATGCAAAATTTCTAAATGTAACCTTTCAGCTTTTTTTTTTTCCCTCTCTTACTTTTGCCTCTAACCAGTGGCAGTGAAACTGGGGCACATGCACCACAGTGGGCTGACTGTATCATTGAAAGCTTGAAAAGCTTTGCCATCATGGAGTCTAAGCTCATTTCTGACTTCTTTCTTTTCTTTTTTTTTGAGACAGGGTCTCACTATACAGTTCAGGCTGACTTTGAACTCACTATGTAGCCAAGGCTGGCCTTGAACTTGCAAGGATCCTCCTCCCTCAGCTTCCTGAGTGCTGGAATTATAGGCATGCATCATCACACCTGGCTGTCTAACCTCTTTTTTTTTTTTTTTTTTTTCCGGTACTGGGAATTGAACTCACGGCCTTGCGTTTGCCAGGCAGGCGCTATGCTGCTGAGCTAAATCCCCAACCCCTGTCTAAGCTTATTTTGACTACCATTTTTTTTTTAATTTTTTTTTTTTTTTTTTTGTTTTTCTCCGGTACCGGGAACTGAACTCACGACCTTGCACTTGCCAGGCAGGCGCTTTTGCCGCTGAGCTAAATCCCCAGCCCCTTGACTACCATTTTAAAAACGTTATTTGCACAGCCTGGTGTTCACGTGATTTGAAGTGTAAAAATTACCTTCCAAAGACTTAGCTTTGAGGTGTAATTTTGCAACTGTTCCCCAAGTTATTATTTCCTTCAATTTTTCTTTGACTTTTGAATCATTTTACCTTTCCTCATCCCTGGAATGACATTTGGTGCCTGCCAGAGACATTCTTGCTATTATACACTGTCAGAACAGTATGTATTTAAAAAGTAATCATAAAACGTTGTTATTATTATTACAACACCTAACAGGTACTTAGTGCTTACTGTGCTCCAAGGGCTATTCTAAGGGCTTCACCTATGTTAACTAAATTTACCACAACCTGGTGAAGAGATACTATTACTTAACCCAAGTTTAGAAGCAGGGAAAATGAGACCCAAAGACATTATGCCATTTGCAGGTGGAAGAACTGGTTTCCGAGCCAGCAGTGTGGTCTTCAACCTAGATCTTTATACCACTGTACTCTGACACCTTGTAGGAAACCCATTTGCTTAGCATGGCTGGACAGCCGGCTTCTGTTAATACTGTTCTTTCACTATAAGACAGATTTAAGAGTTGACTGCGTAGCAGATGCTTACTTTTTCCTCTTCTATTTCAGAGTTTGAACAAACTCAGCGACCACAGCGAAGTCTGAGACCCTTTTGTGGAAGTATAGATGTTGTCTACCCTGAAGAGGCCATATACTGGCACTTTGCACAACTTCTTGTTGCTTAGATCCTACACATGACTTCTACTACAAGTATGATGTGATTTAGTAACTGTGTAGCCACTGGTCAAGATTTGTCAATACTTTTTAATATCTTTGCTAGTAAGCAAATTTCCTTAGTTATTTTATATAGAATTAGCATGCATTTGGTTTTAATGTACTGAAGGATAAACATGATTTTATCACAGTAGTTTCTATTGTTTTATTCCTACATTGCTGTAAGTTAAGTTTTAAAACAGAGAAACACTTTTGTCATAGAGATTTGGGATATTTACAAGCCATCTGTAATACTCCAGGGTTATCTGAAACCTGAAAACAATACGTGAAAACAACCTAGCAAATGTGCCAAATTTCTGGCTCCTCTCCCCTCAAAAGCCATTTCAACATCAATATCACTAAATACTACTTTATGCAACGGGACACAGAATTCACAGAAACAAACCAAATAGAAAAGCATGGCAAGCTGGAAGTCCCTGGTTCCTATACGCTTCACCACACACACTCCTGAAATTTTCATGCCTTAACCAAGAATTTTTTCATGTTCAGGAAAATTGGTATCCTAAGAACTAAGATCTTGGCATTGGTCTGCTTTGCTAAGAATATTGGAAATACTTGGGCTCTTCACACCAGAGAGCTCTAATTTTTACATTCGTACTCCATAAATATCTTCTGCTGGAGTTTTCTGGAGTTACAGAATTTAGAAATTGCATATTTTATATTTTTCACAAATAGGATTTTTAGATAAGAAAATATCACTGGTAGGCTAGCCTTATGCTATTTCAGGATAGGGGTAACATTAGTAGTTTTGAACTTTCTTATTTCAGAGATACTGTCAATAAAATATATTTATCTATCTCTGTCTGGATAAAGTCTCCATAGTTTGTTTTCTTTTTCTTTTGTTAGAGAACATGCATGTAGTGATCTGTAAGCCCACCGAGCCAACAGGGTAATTTAAAAATGAACACTAAAGGCCAGGCTGGATTATCGACATTATTGCCTCAGGTTTGTGCACATATATTTCATGGCTTACTGTTAACACAATTTCACATTTTTGTATATCAAGTTGATTTACATACGAAGAAGAACTCTCACTTTCAAAATCACACATAGACACATAATTACACTTAAGTCTTAAAGGTATCTTAACCCTTTTGAAAATCACCAGTGTAAGAAAAAGCCAAATACTTTAAAGCAAGTTTGGCAAAAAAGGTCGGAAATAAAATTAAGAGATTGGTCATTGAAGTGCTGTCATTAATCTCTTTAAGAATAAATTCTAGCTCCTGCCACCTGACGCATTGCAATGGTCCCTAGCGAATATGCAGTAAACACTCATACTGTCCTTAATTTTAAGATTAAATCCTAGGTAGGAAAATGTAATAAGATGAAAGAGGAGTAAATGTTTCAATTCTGATGGCTTATCCAATCATTTAAGTTTTTTGCCATGAACTGCAAAGTGTAGTCTCAGTTCCCAAAATACCTCAATCTTTTTATCACTAATTTAGACAGAAATAAGGGAGGTTAACTCATATTCCCATCAAACAGTGTTCCAGGGAAGGAGACAGGTAGTAATAGACGTAAAATTTTCTTAGAGAAAGGAATTATATTCTGCTTTGTCCTGTCAAATTATTTCAATGGTAGATGGTGATAAGAGTTACTACCCTTAGTCCATTAACATGAATCAAGGAAAGTCCAGAAAAGAAAATATATCTTACTGTGTGTAAATTGATATTTTGCTATGCAGCTATGGCCTATAATTGAATTCATGTGCTGCTAGCATTTTGTAATTTGTTAGTGATTATGGGCCTTAGATGGCATTCAAATCATTATAGTTAATCGATAGTTTGTTCTGTTTCATCGTTAATGCTGATACAGTATTGTCTGAGAAGCATTTCAGTGTTTATAGTAGAAATTTAGTAGACAAAACTTTAAAGCCAATAACTTGGGTCAAATGTTAATGTTAAATTCAAGAAAGAGGAAGATCAAATCTTAGTAGTATATAGGTTCTTTTTCCCATGGCTTCTCCTTCACACCCAGAAGAGAAAACTCTTCAATTTACTTCTAAGAGCTCAAAAGCTAAACATGAGTTTTAGATGCATAAGATTGTAAAATGCAGATGTTTATTTCAAAGTAGGACCTGACAACACAAAAACAACAATAAGGTCCTAATGCTAAAATGTTTCTAGAATGACACTAAATTATTTTTATGGAATCATCTTATTTTTGTATATGATATCTTACTTCCATATTATTTCTTATGGTAAAATAAAATTGGAAAAAATTAAAACAGATGTAAAAGTGTTTTAAGAACCTACCATACTGACGTATACAAGTTAAGTCTAAAATATGTAATGACAAAAAGACTTAACATTACATTTATGGAAATTATGTGCATTTAAATTTTATCATTTGTCTTTCACTAAAGGTTATTTGCCCCCATTACATAATTCAAGTGTTATAAGGTTTATTTTAAATCACTTTGAAGTAATTTATTTGACATATCTCTCCTCTATAAATGTATAATGTAATGAAGAAAGAGAGCTTTCTTTTTAAATGAAAACATGAATGTGTTAATACCCTGTATTAATAATATTTGACACGTAGTAGTTACCAAAAGTTGTTAGTGTGTTGTTGAGCATACATATGCCTAGAAATGTGCATTTTGTATTCTGTTGGATGATGATCTAATTCAGTACAGAATATGCTCTTGGCAGTCAGTTTGTTGCCAGATTTCAAGTAGGAAGTTAAGTGGTGCTTTCACAATCCAAAGATTTTTAGTTAAGAATTATGTAGTTTATTATGCTGCACTTATTTTTTTATATTTTTCAATGCATTTAATAATCTTTTTATAATTCTTTGTACTAACTCAGCATGTAGCAACCAATTTACATGGAAATAAATTGAAATATGATAACTATTATCCTTAATGAATTTGTGCCCGTTATTTCAGAGTATTTACTCTCCTTCAAAGCAAATCATACATATTGCTTTCTTGGACTGACCACAGAATATTATCTGTTGAAAATTCCTGGAATCACTCATTATTTTGGGTAATTTGTTCATATAAAATTTAAGAACTAATTTACGGATTGCTAATAAGGGCACATTATTCCTTAAGGCCATATTTGTACAATCCTCTTTCACTAGGTTTGTTTCCTTTTGTTTGAATTTTAACTAATATGTACATCTTTACTTTTATTTTGGGAGGTTCTTCATTATATGCTATTATTTGTCTTTCTTGAATCTGTAAATTGAGCTCAATATTTCTCAGCGTTCTTTTTCAGTACTTAGGATTAAGCCCAAGGCTTCAGACTGAACCATATCCCAGAACTTTTCCCCTTTGCTTTTCTTCTTTTTTTCTTTTTTCTTTTCTTTTCTTTTCTTTTCTTTTCTTTTCTTTTCTTTTCTTTTCTTT